GTGTGTGTGTGTGTGTGTGTGTGCACCTGCCGCTCTGCTCACCGCAGGTCTGTTATCAGGCATGGCAGCAGCACAGACAATACACTAATGACAGCACGCCATCTGCTTCTGCCCCAGGACAGTGGCTAGTGCTTGTCCCTTTAGCCTGAGAGGGGCAGGGGGTGGGGGAATGGAGAGCTAGAGAACCTGTGTGATAGACAGAGAGATAAAGATTGAAAGTGGTTTGCAGAGAGAGAAGAAATTAGGAGAGATGTTTTAAATTTGGACTTAAACTTGGAAATAAAAACTTTTTTTACTGAAATATGTTTTTACTGAAATACTGAAACCAAAATGAAAGTTTTCAGTTAGCCAAAAACCAAATATGAAGTTTTGTCAATTCAGTTTGGGTCATTGGGTAATTAAACTCTTTTTCATGGTGTCTTGTTCTCTGGTGATTAATTAAACCAGTCAAAGATCTTTGGAAACAAGTTGCCTCTTGAAATTTCAGCCAAACAAATTTTCTCATACTCTGTTGTCATTTTTGGTCACAGTGAATTGTGCCACCCTGCTGACATGTTTACTTGTTGCTTATCCACATTGTGTAAGAAACACTAACATGCAAAATCAGAGAAGTGCTAATTAAGTATCGTTTCAGTCAATGATTTTAGTCCTCAGAAACTTTTGTTGAAACTTTGTTGTTTTAATATTTTCAGTTGCTTAAATTTTGATGCATCACTTTAAAAGGATTGGCCACACAAACATTTGCTGAAAATGTACTCACTTAATGAAGTGCTGGGCAATATGGCAAAAAATAAAATCTTGACTTTTTTCAAAACATTTGACCGAATTCTATTTTGATTTTTAAACAACACAACAACTAGTCAGCTTAAAAATGTAACTACAACATGATTCACATATCATTCTCTTTATTTAAAACATACAAAACCATCTGGTTAAAAAAGTTCTGTTCACTTGTTAAAATATTGTTGCAGAAAAGAAACATGAAATTTGAAGGCAAATATTGTACAAACTTAAACATATCCTATATGTTCAGAAATAATTTTGGTTTAGAATATAGAAAGAATATAATATAATAATTTCTATTGTAATTACTAAGAAAAAAAAAGCTAAATATTTCTTAGCATTTAGTTAGGATTTATTTAGTTACATTCAGTTTAGAGGTCAACCCAAAAAGTCAAAACAATTTAAGTTCAAAGAGACTAAAAGTACAACTACAGTAGAATATCATTAACAGTAAATGTTTTGTAAAAACAAAGAAAATAACAGAACCATTCAGCCTGTCACCATCATGCAAACATGAATGAAACATGCAGTAGTAATCCTTGACAGGTTTTTGCGTTCCACTGTGCTTTCCATATTTTTTTCTAGCGACATTCTAAACTAAAAAAACTTAATTCTAAAGTTTAAAAAAAGTTCAGCTTTCATCTCATAACCTTGTGTTTTCCTTCTATTCCACTGCCCTCTTCTTGGGGTTTTCTGTGTGAAGAACCCTTTGGGACTATAGTGATATGTTCTATGTTTTGGTCCTTCATAGAGCGCATCACACATGAGCGGTTAATCAGATGCCCTGTTATCATTGATGTATTGCCAATGTGTCTAATTGTAACGTTTGCTCATATTCTTATACAAAATTATGATTCCTTGATGAAAAAAAAATCATTGTCAAAAATTACATTTGAATTAAATCGATGGATCCTCTGCAGTGACTGGGTGCCATCAGAATGAGAGTCCAAAACAGCTGATAAAACATTACAATAATCCACAAATAATCTACACAACTCCAGTCCATCAGTTAATGTCAGTCATCTTGGATGACCTGAGTACATTTTCAGCAAGGGTGAACTATTCCTTAAGGGTGTGAAATGACACAATTCATACAGTTGGCTGAATGTTAATGTGTGTAAACAGCTTGCACGTGTTTTTGTGTAACTTTAGCACGAGGACAGTGAGTGTGCATTTTCTGAGAACTTAGTTACTATTCTACTACACTTTCAAAAACTAGGCTATCTCTCCCTATCTCTGTTTCTCTCTCACTCACTTTCCTCGTATCAAATTATAGAATGATTTATTACTATTTCCCAGTATGTTATTTATACGGTCTCTCCACACATTTAGATACTTAGATAGATTCTGGGTTAATTACAACTTCACAGTTTACATACCACAACAATGTAAACACCAGTCAATTACCATAGAAAAGTATTTAATTTATTTACTATTAATATATATATATATGAAACATGTTTTATAGTAATACAGAAGAAGCTTAGACCTCATCACTACTCTTTTGACTAGTTATGTGAGTCTAAACTGAATATTTGGCCATTTCTTTGTTTTTTTAGGAGGTGCTTAATATCAGTTCCCAAGACCTTATAACTCTAATCCAAGCTCTAACTTTAAACAAGCTGAGATTTAAGCGACAAAACTTGTTAACCCAAGCAGTTCTCTCAGATTCTCCACCTCTGCAGACAGAGCTGGCTAAACTAGGCCGGGATGTTCCCGCCTGAGATAGTCATGTCAACACTGTCAATGTTACCCACATTTAGCCAGGAGCGAGAGGAGATTACTCTTAGGGGAGAGTGGGGGATTAGACATTGTTCAGCGGCTTGTTTTGAGGCGGATGAAAGGAGCATTGACTCAGACATAGACAGTCATTCATGCAGGTTCACAACAACCATGTCCTCAAGTAGACGTCACAACATTTCCTGGATGGTTTTGCGCAGCTTCATTAGCTTTTGTGTCTCTGCCGATTATAGACCTAGATTTTAACCCATCACTGTGGAAGGATATATAACCCTTATTAAATCCACAGCTTAGATTGTTTATTAGAGGACTCAGCTGGCCTCTTGTTGTTCCACAGTTGAAGGTGTTGTGATATCTCTATCCAGTGATGCGCAATCTAGCAGAGACGCTATGTTATGCGTGCATTAAATCAGCATTGCATGACTATTTCCCAGTCCCAGGCATCACTCACTGCTGCCTAGAGCTTTCAGCCTTACACACTGCATTATAGGCTGCAGACATGGTTGTTGGTAGCGTCAAAATGCAAACCCTAAATCTCATCAGCTGAATAAAAAACAGGGAGGATAACCATTTAATTTATCTACTTGCATGCAAGCTTGAGCCTTTTGGTCTTGATTGGCAGTTGTAGTGTCGCATCCTTTCTGCTCATTGGCTCATTGAAGCTAATACATTACTATGCATTGACAGTTATATTCTGTGAAATGTTACCAGTATTGTACATGTAATAGGAGTGTTTTTTGCTGAGTGTATTGCGGGGTAGGCAGAATTCAGGCAAAATTCATAGCTGAATTGGCTCACTTTCAGTTCATGAGATGGAGTTTGAAATGAATTGGCCACACCCTGCTAAAAGTTGAACTGGAATTTGAATTGGAGTAAAGGGAAGTTGGTATGTGATATGGTAATTTTGAAAATTCAACAGGTAATGACATTTTTAGAAATTACGTGGTTCTCTCTCCTGGTTCATAAATTTGTTATATAAATAAATGTAAAGGTGTGTGTGTTTGTGTGTGTAAAATGTGGAGGAGTAATGTGAGGCCTTACAAAGGTCTCATTCCGTAAGGAGGCCCAGATGCAAGTCAAAAAGGGAACAAAAGTCCAAAAGGGCAGACATTAGATCAAAAGACTCTGCACACACAAACACAAGCCTTTACAAGGAGCTCTCAAGGCCCTACTTAAAGTGAAATTGAAGAACGAACAGGTGTGACGTGATATCAAACTAAATGTGGCCAGCTCATTTTGGTGGTGTGAAGCAGCTTGTCAGAGCAAACTTTCTGGAAAACTTTGTGCTGGCTGTTAAAAACATCTAAACATGGAAATCTTTTCAGGATAATTTCTTCACTCAATCCATTGAGGTCAGACATGAGTAAAACCATGAACAGATTCAAGAGCCGCTTTATAGGTTATAAGTTGTATTTATGGTTTAAATTAGAATAACTGAAATTGAAAGTGAGGGGAAAAAAAGAAAAAGAACTTAGTGTTTTGGCTGTAACTGGTCTAAACAGGTTTTTGCTTAGAGGGTCCAATTAATTTGAATGGAATTGTAAAAGACTGCTTTTGGATAACTTTTAAGATGCTTTGACATGGTTTGACTTCAGGGATTCTATACAATGCAAATATACAGTTCAGTCATGAAACTCTAGATGGTGCATTCTGACGGGGTGTTAAAGTAACTGATGATATTCAGAGAGTTAAACGACTTGGCACAAGCTGATTGGTTCATGCTGCATATGCAGCCAATGAGCTTACTGCCTTGCATTTATATGGCTGGCTAGCATTCACTTGAGATTCCTGCAGCACGCTTTCAGAGTTCTCTGAAACCCTCCACCTTCCCCAGCTCCACCTGTATAGATCTGCTATGGGGTTATTTTATATGCTATTTGTGCAGCAGCAGTATGTCTTAAATACTCATGGCACCGTATCGCCATATGCATTGGCAGTAGCAAGTTCCTGTACTTGCTTGCAGCAGCAGCAGCAGCAGCAGCAGCAATAATCTACAACTACCGCAATAACCAACAGCAGCAGCAATTCAGCAGCAGCGTAGCAGATCTGTTCCGCCAAGACCAAATACATTAACATTGTCCTATCCATCACCATGCTAAAATGTTCAGAGAGTTGTCATGATTGAACTACATTTTTTTTCTCTCAATACAAATAGAGCTTTAAAGATGTCTTCTCTTGTTTTCTCCCTCTTACTTTCAGATTGAGCAGGAAGCAGAAGTTACTCCTCCTGGTACTGAGGCAAAGTGGAAGCTCAACCAGCAACTGGTCTGGACTATGCTGCTGTAAATGAACTGTGACCTTTACATCTCATCCTAAAGCTGAACGTCAGTGATTATTCCAGTGAGGCCACTTTAACATGCTACTCCTGTTTTTACCATCTGCACCATTTTTCAGGAACTGCAAAGCTGCTGCTGCTCTGTTGGTAACAAGAGTCATGAAACCTACATGCCACTTGTATGTTTGAACATTTATTATTGTTGTTGATGTGAACACTTTGTTTTGGGGTTGTTCAAATTCAGAACAACGATTGGAATATAGTTTACCCTGAAATCTGTAATCTTTATTTACCTGACCTAAACAACTGTAAGGTACTTTTTGCCCTGTCATACGAATAGCTATATTTGTGGCATTTTAGTAACTTTAAATGATATTGACTAAAAGATTTCAACAAGTCCTCTTTCGGGAAAAGACTTGTATTGATGTACTCAATTCAGAAGAGATAAATAATTCTGAATAATTTTTTCTTCAAAATTAAATGTTCTCATATGACCAATCCAAAGCCTTACTCTATCTATCTGCAAAATTGTGACTACGTATTTGGACCTAAGCAATCAGAAAGTTATCAAAAATATAAGATACTTATTGTATTCATTCTATTTTTCTAAATATTTAGTTTATTCAATAATTACATAGTAAGTTGCTATATAAGAGTCCACTTTTGATATGCAGAGTTTCCTACCACTTAATCAGAGGTGGTTATTGCACATAATATTTAATAACTACACAAATAGATATTATATTTCTGACCAAATACGGTCAGTCATTCACTCAAGTCATATTTAACAGTTACCAGTTATATCATAGTTACCAGTGAATTAAGTTAAAAACACATGTATTAGACATCAGGGATGCACAGAAATGTTGGCTACAGAAAATCTGGCCCAAAAATGTCTGCCCCGTGTTTGTTTAGAATAGAGTTAGTTTGAAGTAAATATTACATTGATCAATGTTGACACTGTGGAGCTGCATTATATATTATATTTAAATATTGAAACCATTTTGGAAACCAATATCTTATTGTAAAGTCACACCAATCAAAGAAAGTTAAAGTAATCATTTAAAAAGTATTATTAACGGAATTGATTAGATTCATTTAAAAAATGAGCACTTTTGGTTTTCAGATTAGTGGATCCAGAATTTGGCAAGAATTTCTGTTCATTTCAGTGCATCATTACTCGACAACAGTTTAATGCTTGTCTGTCTTAATCTGCTCACATTGGCTCTGTGTTGATATGTGGCAGTGATGTCTCATTCAACTCGATTGTAACACATGACGCATCAGAATGTCGAGCACAACACCCACTTACATGAGCGAACTGATTAGTGGGGCAGAAAGAAAATGATCACAACATGAGTAATTTTTAGCCACTGTCTGCTTTTCCCTGTTTTATTTTGTTGTGAACTAAATAAAAGCTGTGATGTGCTTAGCATTTTCATAACATTTAAAAATACTCTTCATCCAACGCAATATATTAGTGTCTTATATTAAAATATTAAGCAAACTGCTAAGAAGAAAATAAACAAGAAATGCAAGATACTAAGCATTGCATTGGTGAAACATGTTTTATTCATATCTTAATAAATCTAAAAACACACGTATAGCACTGATATAGATGTGTTGATAGTATTTTATGTTTAAAGCCCTGAAAAGGAGTGACACTAAATTACTAGAGTGATTTCTTGAGGTGATGGTACATATTCTACTTGATTCTTGGGAAGGTCTCGCTTCTTAGGTAGCTTTCATTCACACTTTCTATATGCAATAATTACAAATCAGATTAGTTTACAAAGTGGAACCAAATGGATAAATATTATGTTAATATATTTGTTAAAAGATTTTACAGAGATATTGAATTTATGCTGTTTATACATTTCTTTCTGCCAACTTTTAAAGCTTATTTTATTTTGCTTTTTGAAACTAAAATATATATATATATTCAACAGTGTTCTTGAAGATCTCGAGTATAAGTATAAAAATATCTATTGTTTGTATGTATCAAAGGGTAATATATTTTCAATATTTGCCAGGTTTAATTGAACAAGCTGTCTTCCATTGTACAAATGTCACATACTGTTCATTGTTATGCTGTTGAGAGATCATTTAATATATCCTTGATGAATATTGCTTTTGTTTGTGTTGCAAAAGATAGTCACATGCAATAAATGAATAAAATCATTATTTAAGGAAAATAACAGTTTTATTGTTCTTTATAGCCTTTCTACAACAAATGTGAAATATCAATAATAAAAAACCTAATGATGCTCAAATTATTACATAAACACCTACAATATTTTGCCATAATTTCCACCTCGTTACTGACACTGTGTCCCTAAGCTTAAGGGCAATAGAGGAAGGAACACACAGTTCATTCATAAACAAGTGGACAGATTACTTCCTGTGGAATGAGCAGGACAGAGGCAAGTGTTTTCCTGTGCATATCATGATTCCCAAGCTCTCATTGACAGAACAGGATGCTAAAAAATCACAGTATTCCAATCTGAGCGAGACTGTGAGGTCCAGTCCAGCTCCACATGCCTCCTTTTCTCTGTTATCGTCTGCAGGAAGCTAATAGATTTGTAAGACATCCTTCCTGCTTTCACTATACGTCATACAGTATCTGGATCATTCCTGTTACAGCATCACTTTGAGCTCTGTAAATGAAAATTAACACTGTGGAACCCTAATAGGGTGGAAATAAAGAGTTAAATTTAGCTAGATCAGTGTGGGATTGACAGTCTACTTACATGAGAGTGTTAGTTTAGCTTAAAGTTATTCTTTGCAACCATCTTTTAGAATTTTGATAATATCATATTTTACTCAAGGTTTTAAGTCTATTATCAAGACTAGATTATCAACATGTACTTATGCACATATACATTACTACATACGAGATGTTTATGTAGGTTATGCAGGACAATAACTAGACTTACGTTAAGACCATTTCAGAAATCAAAATATGTGCTGACTCATGCATGCACAGGGGGAGATGAAACACCTGACAAACAAATGATCCCGTATTTGTACTCACACAATGAAGCGCAAGGACAGCAGGACCTCTGTTAGATCACAGTGACTGGAGGGAAAAGGCAAGGGCACTGCGTTATGCAATAATCCATGTCAGTGTGCAGAGAACACACTGTGCCGGAACTGCAATTTCCCCTGCCTCTGTCCCAGGGCCTGTTTCTGAAATATTTGCAAAATGAATATGAAACGAGTCAATTAAAGCCATTTAATGTAGTGTTGCTAAGAGAACACTCTGTTTAGGTGGAAGCTTTGACCAACAAAATCGGGCACAGACTTGTGCATGATTTTCCCCTTAAACCAGTTAAACGCAAACCCTGCACAGCAGACAATTTCATTGGTCAAATCAGTCTTGCAGTCACCAGTCTAAAAGAGTTTAGACTTCTGAAAAAGGGGCAGTTTGAAAATGCTGCATGGGACAGGTATCATTTTGGTCACATTTCTTTTTTATGTCACACTGACATAAAAACCACACTGTCTTAATTTTCTTAATGAGTATTTTAGCAAATTTGTATAAGATAAAAGGACTTGTTTTCAGAGATTTTTCTCTGGGGCAGTACTCACAGTAAATGGGAAATTATTGGGATTCCCCAGATGTCAGACAGGCCTGTCCTTCCAGGACAATAAACCAGTGGTGTATGCCATAACCTGTACACTGCCTGAATAATGATGGTGGGTTGAAGAAGATGTTGAACCACTACAGCTTAAAAACGAAGGGTGGGGAAAGCCCCCATGTCTGAATGAAATTGTGTGGTCCAGAAAATTGGGTAAAATTAGTTGATGTTCATAGTGAAGAAATGGATAATTAAGAAGGGGATAAAGACTATACAAGTATGTTCACATGCTGCTTGTGTTTGGTCTGTAACATAGTAAAATCTGTATTGACTCCAATGCATTTAGCACCCATAAATCACCTTCTTAGATATTCTCAGATACACAGTCTTGGTCCTGCTTTACTCACCGAATCAAGCTATCCTTCTGCATTCCAAACAACATACCTATGAACTAAACAAAATAGTTTATAATTAACTCTCTGCCATACTGACATCACATGCACAACATATACATAAGCACAAACACCTCGGCAATCAAAAGAGTAACCACTGTTTATGAAGAACCCATTAGTAGTCATGATGGCAAACACGTACACATCCATCCATTATGCAAACACACATTATTTCCAGACAAAGTGCAGCTTATTATACTCTCCCCACAGGGAAACAACAGCAATATGACCATTACACAATGTGTAAACTGTCTAATGGTAAACTCAACTAATTTGATTGGAGTTACAGTGCAAATACATTACAGTATGAATTGCCTGTAGAATTGAATTTTATGATTAACTTTTGTACAGCCAGAGATGAAAATGGGAAACTGTTGCTTGAAATTCTCTGGGGCATTTCTCATAGTCAGTTTTCTTTTAATAGTACACGTGAATGTACGCTTCACTTGTGATGCTTTGACATAGTGCTTTTATAGAGCCATTACAGCAGGATGATTACACAAGTCTTGACACGAACAGAACAGAGGAAATGGATGAGAACAGATAACAGTGTTTGACAGCATGTTAATCTAATTGCTGGTAATACCCTGACTTGTCCCAATGGCTGCAGGACACTTAGGATTTTAAAATGCATTTGGATGGATCCATGCAATGGCTTCATCCAACACACATGCATTTCCCCCCTTTTTTCTGGGACTAGCTGAAATACAGTATATGTGTACTATGTGGGAATTTGGTTTATTTTAATCAAAATTTATCAACATAACCTGATATAACAAGAAAAGGAAAATACTGGCATTAAAACAAACCCCCATAAAAAACAAAAAACAAAAACGTAGCTCTGTGGGAGTCCCTTTGGACCGACACATGCACCAGATCATGTACACAAGTCAGTCACGTGCGTGCGTGTCATGGACAGCAGCTGATGGTGTGTAACCTGATCTTTCCACCCCCTGCTTCTATTCTCTTGCTTTATAAACAACACTAAAACTATAACGTTCCAATGGAGGCAAGTAACGTGCTTTGAGGAATAATGAATGGGCTTAGTTCTAATCGCACACGAGGCCACAGACAGTAGCGAGTAATCGCGAGCTTGTAAACAAGTCCACGTGCTCGCTGCTGTTTCAGGGCTAGAGCCACGCCCCCTCCCTCAAAGTCTCTTGAAGCTTGTATATCTGCAATAATTTGAAGCTTCCTGAAGTCGAATGCATGGGCTAAATATTAAAGCAATCTGTCATTTCGTTTATTTAATTATTTATTTATTGAAAAAAGTTAATAACATCTTTTTTCCCCCCTCAGAATCGTTAAAATATGTCTGTAACAATTTGAAATACTTTTTATTTATTTATTTTGATTGATTGATTGATTGATTTATATTAAAAGTGAGAAATAGATGATCGTTTATCTTAGCACTAAATGAATAGACGAGATGAGGGGCAGTTGCCACACTTCTTACTCTTGTCAATATTTCTCATGATGGGTTTGTTCTTGATGTATTGTCATGATGTACCAGCACATACTTTGAATGCTAGTCTTGGCTACAAAAATGATAATAAAAACAAAACAAACAAAAACATTTCCACTACATTTAAAGCACCTGTTGTGAAAACATCATGCTCAATATCTGAGCATAAGTCCAACCTGTGTTATTTGTTATTTTTGACATTTACCTTGTATTCCAGTGTGATTTTACTATTCCTTTGTGAATTCAAGACCTTTTGCAAAATGGATATATGACTGATGCATGACTGTTGCTGCTTCAAAACTAAAGAAGTGTTAAACAGCTTGTCTTTATACCATGTCTGCACAGTACAGTGGTACAATGATTGTCATCTAAGTCGAATCCATATGGTCACTAAGTTGAATCCAGACAAATACATTATATATGATGCCATCGGTTCTGTACTATATATATTATATATACTATATAGAGGTAATTCTGATTTGTTTTATCTTTTCAGTATGTTCCCTGCTGAAGATTTGAAGATTTGCTTCAAGCACAAGGCTACTCAACAGTGACCTATTTGCCTATGATATGAAAACTATTTAGAGCATTATGTTTCTTAAAGAGGTCAATATTTTCCTTTCTTTTCTCTCTCTCTCTATTTTTCTTCATTATGTAGGTCATTTTCCCTAACTAAAATAAAAGTTTTATTTTTTTGTATTTATATATATTTTTTTAGTATATAGGCTATATAAGTTCCAATTAATTATGATCTGGCAAGAATGTAAATATGCTTGCCACATGCCAGATTTTTGTGTTGTATGGAACCCTGAGGCCATTATAACAAAATCGGGTTGTTTTGTAGGTTTATAAGGGTTTGTTTTTACATCATTATAGGTCATTGTTACACATCCTTGTCACTTATTCTCTAAATCCTTGGTAAATAAGCTGTTTAATTCCGATTCCTCTTAAGAACGACTTACAGTTTCAATGGAAAGGTCAAGTGTGGCCTCTGGCAGGGAAATTCATCTGAGTGAAGCACACGTCAAGCCATTTAACATCTACATAGGCATATAGCCTACTGTATTAGTGTTCATATATTTGTATTTATTTATTTTTAAACTGACTGATGCTTCTATTAACCAACATTTAATTGTTAAAATCACTGTAATGTGCTGATTGGATAATCAAGATACATTTTTATATAAATAGCTAAAATGTATTGTAATGTTAAATCACGTTTGCAAATTACAAAACAGTGTCTTTTTCAGGTGCTAAAATACTGAGTAAAATTGCTCAGCAAGCAGTTCTAGGTGAAATGCCTTTTAAATGATAGAGGTCAAGCGAGAATGACCAGACTGGTTCAGACTTCTTACCACACATGGGTAAATGTTCCCTTTACTCCCAGAACCGTCTCAGTTCTTTGTAGCATGGATTTAAGGTGCTGGAATCATTCCAGTATACAATGTGGCAGAAAAGCTACTTATTTTGGATACTTTTCTGTTCAAACAGAGGACTGTAACATAACTTTCTGGGTTTTAGAGAATGGATATATTGATCTCCAGAAACAGAACAGTACTAGTTACATTGACCATCTACAATATGTACGTAGAGTGAGAAAACAGCTGTTAATACTTGGCATGTGGAATTAAAGTCTGCACGTCAATTGCTATACGATTTGCAAAGAAGTGTATTTGATCAAATTT